AACCACGTGGTACAGTATGACCAGCTTCACACCGCGTCCCATCGATGAACTGAGACCCACGACTCACCATGAAGTCCTGCTCACGTGAGCGACACAACAGTTTACACTGAGCATCACCTGGAAGGGAGAGAGAGACGTAAAGAACAGAGAACACAACAAAAGACAAATTGAACAGGAAGATGTTTATGGGTGCACCTGAGCTGTAGCCGACAGCAGGGATCCAGGTGTAGACTGAGCTGGAGTCTGGAGACACCGACAGAGGCTGCTGGTCTGTGGCTGAGCACTGCTGAGACATGAACTCCAGCTGAGTCGACTCACAGGGCTGGAACAAGCAACAGCAAGACACGCATGTCACTTTAAACCATCAACTTGGTTTACTTCAGTTTACAGGAAGCAATGTAAAGTTACATTTTCAAGCTTTCTTGCATATAAACAGTAGCAAGTAATGAAAACAAGCTAGTTACTTAAAAATAGATTAAATATTTTACTTGTTTACTGCATTTTATGTTTACCACAACCTGCGAATTTGTTGTTAAATTATTGAAATATTAACTTCAGGGCGTACTTCAAGCACATATTATAACAAATATATCATTGCTAATTGTTAATTCATGTTTGTTTATATAATATATTGACTAATATTACTTTATACAGCTTGAATAGCTGAAATTTTATAGGTACATGCAAAAAATTAATGTACACTTCCCTTTAAAAGTCTGGGCTCTGTAAGATTTTTAAAATGTTTTTGAAAGAAGTCTCTTATGCTGACCAAGGCTGCAATTATTTGATTAAAAATACAGAAAAACAGTGAAATATTGTGAAATATTATAACAATTTAAAATGACTGCTTTTTATTTGAATATATTTTAAAATGTAATTTATTCCTGTGATCAAAGCTGAATTTTCAGCATCATTACTCCAGTCTTCAGTGTCACATGATCCAGAAATCATTTTAATACGCTGATTTGCTGCTCAAGAAACATTTCTTATTATTATCAATGTTGAAAACACTATACTTTTTGGAAAACAAGATAATTTTTTTCAGGATTCTTTGATGAATAGAAAGTTCAAAAGAACAAAATATTTTTAATTTAATCAATTCAATAAATATTTTGTAATAAAGTAAAAGGCTTTAATATCAGTTTTGATCAATTTAATGCATCCTTGCCAGATAAAAGCATTAATTTCTTTCAAAAATCTTACTGAACTAAACTTTTGAATTATAATGCAATTCTAGATTAATAAATTCTGTAAAATACTGTTCATTGCTTGTTCATGATACCTATTGCTTTAACTAACGTTGACATTTTAAACTCAATTGCAAAGTTTTGCAAATTTAATGAAAAATAAGGTCAAATAATATGATCTACACTGAAAGAATAAATGCTATTTAGCAAGCTTGTAACACTCCAAAGAGAAAGGAAAAATTTAAATCGCATCATATGACCCCTTTAAGGATTCAGTGTCAATAAATGTTGGTCATAGCAGTCTATCACCTGACTGGGCCCACACTCCGTCCCGTCCAAGAGTGGAACAAGGAGACGAGTGCATGAGCTACGGTCCCGAGGGTTGATATGGCAGGACAAAACATGACAGGTTGCCTTGATGACAACAGAGAGAAAATATCAAACCTTAATGGAAAGTCTGAGTCAGATATTTATTGACTAAATAAAAATTACAAAGCTTTTTAGGGTTTTAAAAAATGGCAGTTTTTCAATATGTTACGCCCAAACTTTCTATATCAATAAGAAAGATGTCAACATAAAACAGAGTACTATGCTGGTCAAGGGATTTCAGGTCTTTAAAGCACTAGCATGGCAGTAAATGTCTTACTCGCCATATCACCATTAGTGAAAGAGCAAGCAGTAGCCGAGCTGCCAAACGCTATACGGCACTGATCATCCACTCCATAGAAGAGACCAGGCCTCCAGTCCTGCACTGAAGCGCCCAGCACCGGCACATCCTTCACACACTCCGCCTTCCCAGCACTGCACAGACAATCAACACACAGTCATCTTATGAAGAAAACTGTACATCTTCAGTCGGTAAGAGGTTTTAATGTTTTTGAAGTCTCTTATGTTCACCAAGGCTGCATTTATTTGATCAAAAATACAGTAAACAGTAATATTGTGAAATATTTTTGTAATTTAAAATTTCTATTTTATATTTTAATTTATTCCTGTGATCAAAGTAGTTGTTCTGCTTCATATTTTTGTTTTGCTTTTCAGGATTTCTTTGATGAATAGAAAGTTCAAAAGAACAGTATTGATTTGAAAGAGATTTTTTGTAACAATGCAAGTCACTCTTAATGCATCCTTACTGATTTTATTTTTCTTATTCACCACAAACGTTTTTTTAGGTCAAATGGATTAATATAAAATACAATAAATAAACATGGTGCAAATAAATAACTAAAATGGACCCAAAAAGAATTGGTGTTCTTGACATTTTATTGATGAATAGTAATTGGGGTTTAAGGGTGATCCTCAAAAAGCCTTTTACAAGCATGTCACATTTTGCTAAAAAAAAAAAAATTTATATATATATATATATATATATATATATCATGTTTTTG